TTTTTTTTTTCAATTCTTTCGTACACTGTAGATGTAGTTATAATAGTTTTCTTAAAATTTTCACAATTTTTAATCACTATTTATTTTTAAAAACTGCTGTTAAGTTTTCAAAATTTTTAAAATAATTTATTTTTTTTCACAGTTTTAAAAAAGTTTTTTGAAAAAATTCACTTCTTCAAATTGATATTTCTATCATCATTATTTTGATGGAAAAGATTTGATATTTTCCATTTAATTGGTTCGTAAACCGACTGCGCCAGTTATGTTTTATACTTGTAAAACATTTATGTTCCTTTTTTATTTAAAATTAAAACACTTATTTTTATAATTTTTATAAACAAATTTAATTAAATTTACTTTTCTTTAAATGTATGGTTAGCAAACAAAATGATTTGATCATATTAAGATCTTGGTGTCAACTGAACTCTTATTCTAAATTCATTTTCTTTTAAAAGTAATTAATATTTTGAATTTACAACAATAAATATAAAATAAACAAAAAACAAAATTGTAGTTAAAGTGGGAGTGAGTGGGAGAATATTGGAGAGCAACAGTTCCATTGATAGATGAGAGAGAGGAAGAGAAGGAGAGAGAATGAAAGTGAGAGAGTTTAATTTGATGAGAGATATTAAAATAAGAGAGTGATATTTATGAGTTAAAGAATTTGTGATTTTATGTTGGGTGAAATATGTGAAGAGAGAAAGGCATTAGGTAAAGTGTATTAGGGTGGGTAAACGAATGTGACTATATGCATAAATATTGTATTATTTATTCTTTTTGGCCAGTGCAAAAATTTACTATTTATTGCATTACTGTTTAAAACGAATAAAATGAAATACATAAAAAAGAATAGTTTTTTGGAAGATGGGCCTCTTATAAGAAATTATTTTTTTATTAAATGTTAGATTAAAAACTAACTAAAAATTAAATTTTATTAAATTTTATAGCAATGGAAAATAAACCATTTACAACCGAATCTTATGTATTCGATTTTTCGGATTTTATTCTAAGATGATGAAAAATTATTACTTTTTGCACCAAAAAATCTTGAAATCTTACTGCTTTTTAAATTGCTTTTAAAAATATATTGAGACTTTAATCACCATTGGATTTTTTAAAAATATTTTAGAAAGATTAAAACACAGTCGTGGATTTTTAAACATATTTTTGAAAGACTATAAATTTTCCTGAATTTTTTTTAGAAAAAGAAATTGAAAGACTGTAAATGCTCGTGGATTTTTTAAAAAATGTAAATGATCGTGAATTTTTCAAAAAAAAAAAAAAAATGAGAGATTATAAATGGTTTTTTAAAAATATTTTTGAGAGACTATAAATGCTTGTGGATTTTTTATGAAATATTTTGAAAGACTATAAATGCTCGTGGATTTTTCAAAAAAAAATTTAAAAGACTATAAATGCTCGTGGATTTTTTAAAAATATTTTTACAATGACTATAATTGTGGTTGAATTTTTAAAAATATTTTTAAATACTATAAATGCTCGTGGATTTTTTGAAATATATGTTGGAGAGAATGTAAGCTCTTGTGATTTTTTTTAAATTATTTTAAATAGAATATAAACTCTAGTGGATTTTTAAAAAATATTTTTAAATAGAATATAAACTGTAGTGGATTTTTTTAAATTATTTTTAGAAAGACGTTATGATCGTGCAATTTTTAAAAATATTTTTAAAAAATATTTTGGAGAGAATGTAAACTCTTGTGAATTTTTTTTTAATTTTTAAAGAGAAATCCACTTTCCTGGATTTTTTAAAAAGACCATAAGTTGTCGCGGAATTTTGAATATTTACTCTCGTGAATTAAAAAAGAAAAAAAATAATTCGCTTCCTTTGAAATCGATTGTACAGAAATGGCAACCCTGGCATTTGCTTATATTCTCAATGTCTTGAAGAAACAATGCCCGCAACTTTATCGTCTGAGAAATCGCTCCTTACATTTCATAAACAGCAGCCTCCTGTTTCGTTACAGGAGAAGCAATAAATGGCTATTTTGCAACAACAAAACATGGGGGGCTCAATTCTTTTTCTCAAAGTATATATATTCTTGATCTGCCTAAAATTCTATGTTGATATGTCCGTCCGTCTGTGGAATTCACACTAGCTTCCGAACGAAATGAAGTATGTTGATAAAATGTTACTTAAATGTATATTATGTCTGCAGGACTTTTGGTATTAAAAGAGGCCATGTAGATACACGTTTTGGTATAGCCCCCCATGTAATGGTACCTCCCTATTTTCGGTATTTTGGTGAGTTAAGCGACATTATTTACCGGAAATGTTTCAAATTTAGTATTTAAAATTCGTTATGAATATTACAGCCTATAACAGAAAATTGTCTGTCTTCGTATAACCCTCATATAACGGTACCTCCCGATATTCGATATTTTGATGATTTTAGCGACATTGTTCACTGTCAGCCTATGACAGAAAATTACAGGTCCACGTCTTCGAAGGCCTTTTATAACGGTATCTCCCGATATTCAGTATTTTAATGATTTTAGCTACATTATTCACCGATTTTTTTTTCAAGTTTCGCATGGCTTGTCACAAAAATTGTCTATGCAGGTCCACATCGTCGTACATTCGGCATTTTTAAGATTTTAATAGAATTTTTAAAGGATTTTAATTCTTTGAAAATTGCCAAATTCGTTCTAAATAGTGGATGTTATTCAAACTTCGGCCCGGCCGAACTTACAGTTTTTTTTTACTTATTGATATTTCTAAGGATCAATAATTTAGGATTTTTATGCGTCTTTGTTTTACATCGGAACAAAACAACAATTTTTTTTTTTTTTTAGAATTTTGGTCAAAATCTTTTAAACATTTTTAGGATGTTTTTGGAAATAAACGCTTATTTGTTTATTAAAAACATAGGAACTTCGGAGAGAGATTCAAATTGTTTTATTAAAAACATTGTTTTATTAAAAACATTTATCTTGGTTATTTTAAGAAAACAACCAGTAAAGAAAGTCCTAAAGTCGTTCGGGGTCGATTTTATGATAAGCTACACCACTTTGCTAATTTAGTTCAGCTCCACATAACAATTAAAAGTTTTTATGGGAGAATTCAATCATACACCCTGGGATTATAATTATAATTTAAAATTCAAAGGACTATATGCTGAAGCATTTGTATCTTTTAAATTCGGACTTGTATTGCCCATTTGGTGCAAAATTAATTCTAAATCAGATAAAGATATATATGGGAGCTATATCCAAATCTGAACCGATATCGATAAAATTTGGCAAAGATATTTCTGAGCTGTATTTGATATATTTCCCCGAATATCGTTGTTACGGAGTGCATATTACGGCTGTGGGTAACAAATACAGCAAATCGGATGAACAATATATATGGGAGCTATAGCTATATCTGAACCGATCTTCACCAAATTTGGCATACTACCTTCTAGACCCAATTCGGTCGTATGTGCCCAATTCCATCCCATTTAGGCAATTATTACACGTTTGGTGCATAATAAAAGGTAAATCGGACGAAGTTATATATGTGAGTTATATCCAAATCTGAACCGATCTCGATAAAATTTAGCAAAGTTATTTCTGAGCTGCATTTGATATATTACCCCAAATATTGTTGTTACAGGGTGCATATTACGGCTGAGGAGGACAAAAATAACAAATCAGATGAACAATATATATGGGAGCTATAGCTATATCTGAACCGATTTCGATCAAATTTGGCATATTTATTTTTAGGCCTAATTTGGTTGTATGTGCAAAATTCCATAATATTCGAACTGATATTACACCTTTGGTGCACAATAAAAGGCAAATCAGACGAAGATATATATGGGAGCTATATTTAAATTTTTACCGATTATCTCCAATTTCAATAGGGTTCGTTCTTGGACCAAAAAAATGTTGTTTGGAAAATTTCATCTCAATCGGATAAAAAATGCGACCTGCATTTTGTTCACAAGAATACATGGACAGACGGACGGACGGACAAACGGACTGACATGCATAAATCAACTCAGAAAGTGATTCTATGCAGATCATCAAAAGGAACTATGGGTCTATCTCGTTTCCTTTTGCCTGTTACAAACAAATGCAGATATAATACCCTGACCACCCTGGTGTAGGGTATGAAAATCATACTATCCTCAGCATCCAACCACTTACTGCATTGTATGCGGTTCGTTTTGACTAAAATATGTTATCCCAAGACCTTCTATGTAAAAATAAAAGAAATCTGTTAGTGAGTTACTTATTTATTATGGGCTGAAATCCATGAAGGTTACACAGTGCCAATGTTCGTGCAGTGCTGTACAGAATTTACCTAAGCCTAAGTTATTAAGCCAATTAATATTTGATAAATATTCTGAAAAGCTTTTGTGTGCGGAAATCAATATTGCTCCCCCAAATGAAAAGGTCACCATATCCAAAATGGTCTGCTAATGTCATTTTTATGATCATCAATTATTTGTGAATAAGCATTTTTCCTGGGTTTCCATACTACAAACGCTTTATTGGCAAATCCATTTCGCTTCTCTTACAAACCACGAAAAGGAATCCTTTCATTTTCCTTTCCCCTCTCCTTCAATCTTGGTAGGATTTCCGTAATTTTATTCCTGCAACCGTTGCAAAAAGCGCCACACAAAAACTCAGCATGAATCAATTACAAAATAATTGAGCAAAAGAAAGCGATGATATATGCGCGTTGTGTGGTCAAAAGGAAATTTGGGGACAAATCTTTAACGAGCCCCAGAAGATGGAGAAAACTCAGAGGCAGTCATAAGGAAATCAAGGGAAATCAATCAGACAAATCCAGCTAAAGGTTAAGTGATTTGTGTGGGAAAGTAGAAGAAAAAGAGGACAAAGAACTCGCTGAGGCATTCACAGTTAAATATTTTTAGGATGCCCAATCCATTTTGTCAAGAAAGGAGGTTATTAAAAGGAATAAATTACAACTAAATGTAAATCTTATTTTTTTTTAATCTCTTCTTTTTTAATTGTTGGAAAAAATATAATAATACTATTTTTTATTTACAATAAATTATTTACATCACTACAACAAGGATAAGTTTATCTTAATCTACGATATTACTTTGCACCCATTGCAAATGTTGTGCCACATCACAGAACACCACGTATTCGAGGAGATTACATTTCTGCTGCTTTGTTTGTCCTGCGGAGACAACTCCTCGCAGAAACCATCGGCCATTGCGATTTATCATTAGACCACTACCCGAATCTCCCATGCATGGACCACTACCATCGCGATTCCCAGCACAAAATGTCCGCTTCGAGGTTAAGGTACTATATGCCTGTGATGATCTCAAACAATCACTGTCACTGACAATATTCGCTTCCACCTTTTTCGGTATTGGTGTGAAACTCTCGCCATGTTCATCGCCACCCCAACCGGCTACCACACCTGTCTGGCCAACAATCAAGTTGGAATCTACCGGTTCACTCCACAGACATATCGGCCGTATGAAGTTTGTATATCTGAAAGGAAAGAGGACAAAATGTAAGAGATTTCATACGAAGAGCAGATTGTAATATCTAACACATAAAAATAGTGTTATGTTCGGCCGAACCCAACAATCAATGACCTCCCCTAGAACGTAAGGGTGAGATGAAACAACTGCAACCTACTTTAGACTGCTTTAATTTCTAAGCCACTCGTCCGACAGCTGTTAAAACTATTCCAGTGACAGGTAATTATGTTGTTTACAAGCGTACAAAAGCATTTTGGTGAGAATTTTCCAGGAAAAATGTTATTCGCGATGGAATTGAAGCCTGATAGTTTGATTTCTTTATATTTGGCTGGAAAACCACAAGTGGGTATCGCTAGAACACTCCAGCTTTTAAATGTGAAAAAATTATCTGTGTCTCGCACCATCGCTCGTTACCGTGATACTGGTAGCGTAGCCCGACGTCAAGGAAGTGGACGGAAGAAAACAGCAACATCAGCAGAAATTGTTCGAAAAGGAAAGAAGCGACTTGATCGCAACCCGCGTCGTCGCAGTGGCCGAAAAATGGCTCGTGAGCTGAATAAGCTGGGGGTAAAGCCATTGAAATACAAAAAAGTGCAAAAACTTACACCGCAACATAAGGAAAATAGACTCAAAAGAGCTAAAGAGTTGCTTCGCTTGGCCGAAAGTGGTGAACTGCCGAATTTAGTTTTCTCCGATGAGAAAATATTCGTTGTCCTGCATTTTGTAAACAAACAAAATGATCGTGTTTACTTGCTAAAGAGGTCAGCTGAAAATGTGCACCTTCGGTTGGCCACCAGAACTCAAGCGCCGGCCATGGTGATGGTGTATGGCTGCCCATAACAGCCGATTGTCGCTGTCCGCTCGTATTAATCGACTGTGGCATCAGAATAAACGCCGAATATTATCGCGAAAATATTCTGGAGGGTGTATTAAAGCCTTGGGCATGCAAATATTTTGGCCACAGACCTTGCACATTCCAACAGGATTCAACACCATCGCACTCAGCAAGCGCGATCCAAGAATGGTTACAAAATGAGGTTCCTCGCTTCATTTCCAGTGCACAATGGCCACCAAAATCTCCGGATACCAATCCGTTGGACTATTGTGTCTGGAGTATTTTTTGGAAAGCAAGGTTGGCACTAAAAAATACCCAAGTGGCGATCACCTCAAGCAAGCGCCTCGCCGGGAATGGGCCAAGATATGGCAAAGCAACAGTTGGGCATCGTGTGACGGTTTCATTGGCCATTTGAAGGACATAATTCGTGCCAAAGGTGACCAATTCGAACAAATCTAAACTTATTCTAAAATCTGATGCTATTTCCGATATTTTTGAATTCGTTCAATAAAATTAAAAAAAAGAAAACTATGGCGTTTGATTTTGTTGCATTTTTGTTATCTCACCCTGTACGTAAATATTCGGGAAGCTCAGCTGGTAAAGTAAAAATGTAACAAAAGTTACCATTTCGGGCCCTTAAATTTGGCAAGCCGCCCTGAAATTCAGTTTTTAACAACAATTACGAAAATATTCTACAACTTACTCAACGGGTCTCTGCAGATGTAAAACCGCCAAATCAGCATCGGGAAAGAGGGTTGATGTAAACTCGGGATGGGTAATTAAATTCTGAATTTCTCGTGTTTGGAAATTTTGTTCACTGTAATCTTCTAAATTATGGCGCCCAACATTGATTACCAAACGGTCAGCGGTTAGTCCACCGAGTTTAAAGCAATGAGCTGCCGATAACACTGTCCTCGTCGAAAGCAATGATCCACCGCAAAGAAAACGCAAACCAGCCGATTTGACATATATCGCCGTTAACCATGGAAACTGGCCAGGTGCAATTTGTTGGCCACCATATATGAAGGGTGTTACACTCGAATCCTGACCACATACATTTTGAGTCAGACCTGGATTTTGACTGAATCTTTGACCAATACCCTGCTGCGCTGGTGTTTGGGGGCTTATTTGTTGTACTTGTCCGAATTGTGGAGGTGCCTGCTGAGGTATCTGTCGAACAGGCGGTGTTTGCACCACTTGCTGGCGGACTTGTGGCACTTGCCGTATTTGTGATTGAGGTTGCTGTAATATTCTATTATTGGAATTTCCACGAAAAGATCTAAAGTTTCCATTGGGATCTTGATAATACAGCGGTTGCATTGCAATTTTTACATTATTGCTACGCAGATGATGTTTCAAGTACAGCCGAGTGCTGGGTTGGGGATCTGAAATGATTTCATTTTAATAGATATATTGCTCCGGAGTAATTCTTAGAACTCACATTCAGTATCCACACAAATATCCTGACCATTCACCATTATCCTGGATAACTTTGGTATTTCAGTAACTGAGGGAAATTCAATGTGGTATGAAACCGGCTCTCCAGGCTGTATCTGGTTTACATTCGCTTTACTGCTCTCCGTTAGGTATATCCTGCCAAAATAACCCTGAAAATAGTGAACGAAAATTATTTGTTAAAATATTGAAGTTATTTTGGATTTTTTCAATTTTTCAATTTTTTTTTGAATTGAAACAGATCAGTTTTGAACTGGCTAATAATTTATCGACTTGGTGAATTTATCGAAACCATTGTAAAAGATGTAATGGAGGTTAATAATAAGCTCTTAGATTGAGAATATATAAAAGGCTTTTTGACTGGCTTCTTCGGAGAAGAGCAAATGAGCTTAGGGCCAAAATCGAACTAAGTCAACCTAAAACTCGTTTGTTTTATTTTTTGTGAAAATGCGATATAAATGAAGGAGGTGACAGCTTATAGCTCAAAAACTGCTGGACGGATTTTCACAATTCTGACCAATTTCGTCCGACCCTCACGAAATTTTTCATGGGGTAGGGTTAGTGTGAGAATTGAAGCCTATTGTTTTTGACGATGTATACAGGGTTGCCCATATTCGACGGACCCGTGTTTTTTTTTTTTTTTTAAATCAAAGAAAAAAATAAAAATTTGGCGGTTGGCAATGTTAATCATTTAATTTGTTCCAAGTAGATTTGTTTACATCAATTTTTGAATATGATATCTCTCAAATGGCCGCCTCTGGTGTTGATGACGTATTGTGCCCTTTTTGCTTGCATTTTCCATCGTTTTTGCCAACATTTCGGCCGGAATAGCGGCTATTTCTTCACGAATGTTGTGCTTGAGCTCTTCTACGGTCCTTGGCGTGTTAACGTAAACCTTTGACTTCAAATATCCACACAAGAAGAAGTCAGGTGGCGTCAAATCGGGCGAAAGCGGTGGCCAGTCCAAATCACCACTTTTCGACATCAAACGGCCCGGAAACAAATTCTTCAGAAAATCGATTGTTATGCGACTTGTGTGCGGTGGAGCGCCGTCTTGTTGAAACCAGAACTGCCTCATACGCTTTCGACGAATAAATGGCATCACAAAATTGGTCATCATGTCGCGATAACGCTCCTGATCGATGGTAACAGCATGGCCATTTTCATTTTTGGAAGAAAAACGGCCCAATGACCGTTTTCGCACTAACGCCGCACCAAACTGTGACTTTTTCGTCATGTAGAGGCACTTCTTGAATCTCCTGAGGATTTTCAGTGGCGTAAAAACGGCAATTTTGCTTATTTACGGTCCCATTCAATGTGAAATGGGCTTCATCGGACATGATAATTTTGTTCCAAAATTGCTCGCCATCTTCGGCCATTTCGATGACTCTTTGGTCCCATTCCAATCGACGAGGCTTGTCCGCAGGCAACATTTTTTTGCGTCAATTGAATTTTGTACGAAAAAAAAAAAAAAAAAATGCAAATCAATGCGAATAATCCGTTGTAAAGTGGACAGAGCCATGCCCAACTGCTGAGAACGGCGTTTTTGGGATGTTCTTGGGGACCTCTCAACACTGGCTCGTACGGCAGCGATATTCTCGGCCGATCGCCTTGGTCGACTTTTATATGGCCTCTTCGGATTAGAAAGAGCCTTACTAGTCGAAAATTTTTCGTATAAACGCTTAATGGTGTTCTTAGAAGGCGCACTTCTCAGATTTTTTAATGTTTTAAAAGCACGGTGAGTTCTCACAATTGACTTCTTCTGTTGAATGTAAATTTCAGAGCGTTCGTGGCGTGTATTGGTTCATAGTAACAATCTGCTTGGACTGACGCTTTAGACGCGGTATGTCATTAAGCGATGCGACATCTCTGTCAAAAGTTATGGCGTTGCCAGATGGGTCCGTCGAATATGGGCAACCCTGTATTTAGGGGTTCAAATGAATATTAAAATTTTCCTGACTTTGTAAAATATATGGCAAATGTCAAAAATCTGGCCTGGATGACATCATTTTTATACCTTCATATCTTCGTATATCATTTGATACGGTCAAAACTTGCCTAGTCGAAATAACGGTTTAAGACCTTAGGTCTCTTTTTACCAAATCCGTTTCAGGACATTTGGAGCCGATGTAGTGATGTCCGTCCGTCTGTCTGGCTGATGCGCACTTGGTACATCGTAATATTATTGTCAAACTTAGATCGAGTTACGAGATGGGCAATATCGGTCCACTCCTTCTGGTACCTCCCCCATAAAATGCCAAAATTTTCAAATAAAATAATTTACTGCACCGAAAAAGAAAGGATCAACCGATTTTGCTCCAACTTTGCAAATCGTAATATTTGCGTCAGCGCAATGTCAGGTACGAAAATGGACAATATCGGTCCACCCCATCCAGAAGTAACTCACCCACAAAGGGTCAACATTTTGAATAATTACAACTCTTATAAAATGTGATGCAAGAGTGTAATTTTCTACAAATTTCACACATCCCAATATTTTTACCAACCCAACACCAGACGTTAAGATGAAATATATCGGTTCACTCCTTCTGGTACCTCCCCCACAAAAGATCGAAATTTTCAAAAATATATATTTTTTTCACAGAAAGAGAATCGATAACCCGATTTTGCTTCAACTTTGCAAATCTTAATATTTGCGTCAGATGCGAAAATTGACAATATCGGTCCACTCCATCAAGAAGTACGTCCCCACAAAGGGTCAAAATTTTGAATAATTATAACTCTTATAAAATGCGATGTAAGAGTCCGATTGTCTTCACACATTTCACACATCCCAATATGTTTATAAACCCAAGGTCTGGTGTTAAGATGGAATATACCGGATCACTCCTTCTGGTACCTCTCCCACAAAAGGTCGAATTGTGTAATACCCATTAAGCTAATTAAATGCGAAATTAACGTCCGATTCCATTTAGTAGTATTTCTATCAACACCGGATCTGCTATGAAAACGGTAGAGATCAGACCATTTCTTCTGATACCTCCCCCACAAGGGTGCAAAATTTTGAATATCCATGAAGCTTAGAAAAAGCGAAATTAACATTCGATTCCATTCCAGATTTGGTACATCTCAATATATCCATCAACACAAGATCTCTTATAAATATGATAGATATCGAACTATTTCTCTTGCTACCTGTCCCACATAGTGTTCAAGACTTTGAAAAACAAAACGCTCAGAGAAAGCGAAATATCCATTCAACACTTCAAATTTCACACATACAAACATTTTTGTTAATACAATATCTGTTGTACAGATGATATATATCTGTAAACCCCTTCTGGTAGCTCACTCACAAAGGGTCACAATTTCCAATACTTTTATCTGTCATAACTTGCGAAACAAGTCAGCGATTCTTTACAACTTGCTATATCTAAATATATCTCCCTTTTCCAGAAACCTGAGATGAATATGGAATTTATGATTTTCCATAAATTGAATATAAATGTTCGATTTTCTTGTAATATTGCCCATACCAATATCTTTTTTGTGTATTAGATGAAGCATGCGAATGGAATACTTCGGCCGACCATATCTGGTATCTCACGCACATGTTAACATTTTCTTAAAATTATCATAGTATTACGTAAAGTGCAGGAAGTTACCAATATAGTCCAAACCTGGCTCGTCGCAATATTTATATCACATTTGTTTAGGTCCGATATGAAATGGGCAATATTGGTCCATTCCTTCGGAACCTACTCCATAAGGTGTTAAACATTTGAATAATCATAACAGAAGTCAAAATATTTTTAAATAATCGAACATTGGCTGATGGTATTCATCTGTGGGCAAAACAGATAATTTTTAACTTGTAAAAAATAATAAATAATAAAAAAATTATTTATTCCTATTTTGTCGCATAGTGTAATATACGTAAATATATTCTGTTCACTGTCAACAGATCGGAACTTCCAAAATGCCAAATATTTATTGATCTTGTTTTGATTTCGAAAAATTCACAGGTCATTCTTTCACACTTGCCTCTAAATGAGCAGCTGCGACAAATAAATAAATATTAACATTTGAGAAAACCAGTTCTCCTGCTCATCTGCTTGGCACACGTATATGTGTTATGTTATTATCTATTCGTGGATGTTGTTGTAGAGATTTCTAATCGAAACGACGGCCTAGTAAAAGTGGGAGTCAGAGGCGATTAGGGAGACAGAATGTTGAATATTTACAATTTGTTATTATTATACAAACAATACAAACATTTACTCAATCGTTTTTTTTTTATAAAATTTATAAACAAATTATTATTAAGAAATCAATAAAATGTTGGCTTTAAATTTGTGTTTATATAAAAATATACAGGGTGAGATAAAAAAACTGCAACCAACTTCAGACTGCTGTCACTCGTAATAAGCCGACAGCTGTTAAAATTATTCCAGTGACAGCTCAGTATATATTTTTTACAAACGTACAAAAGCATTTTGGTGAGAATTTTCTAGAAAATAAAAAAAAATAAAAAAATATTCGTGATGCAATTACAGCGTGATAGTGTGATTTCTTTATATTTGGCTGGAAAACCACAAGTGGCTATCGTTAGAGCACTCCAGCATTTAAATGGTAGCGTAGCCCGACGTCAAGGAAGTGGAAGGAAGAAAACAGCAACATCAGCAGAAATGGTTCGAAAAGTAAAGAAGTTAAAAAGCAGTAATTTCGGCCGGGCCGAACTTTTAATACCCTCCACCATTTGCAACGAATTTGGAAATGTTCAAAAAATAAAATCCTTAAAAAATTCTGTTAAAATTTTAAAAATACCGAATATAGCCGTTATTTTGGGGTCTATACGACGTGGACATACATAGGCATTGTTTGTCATAAGCCATTACCATATTCAAATTCGAAACTTGAAATAAACGGTGAATAATGTAGCTAAAATCATCAAAATATCGTATATAAGGAGGTGCCGTTAAATTGGAGCTGTGCGAAGACCTGGACCAGCATAGACAATTTTCTGTCACAAGCTGTAGCATCCATTGCGAACTTCAAATACCACATCTCAAACAATTTCGGTGGGTATAGTACCTAAAATCGTCAAAATGCCGAATATAGGGAAGTACTGATATATGAGGCCTATACGAAGATCCGGACCCGCACAGACAATTTTCTGTCACAGACTGTAGTTCCCATAACGAACTTCAAATACCAATTTTGAAACAATTCCGGTGAATAATGTCGCTAAAATCATCCAAATATCGAATATAGGGAGGTACCGTTATATGGGGGCTATACGAAGACGTGGACCTGCACAGACAATTTTCTGTCTTAGGGTGTAGTATCCATTTTGAACTTTAAATACCTAATTTTAAATTACTTCCGGGAAAAAGGTCGCTAAAATCATCAAAATACCGAATATAGGGAGCTACCGTTATATGGGGGCTATATGAAAACGTGGACCTAAATGGCCCATTTACGAACTTAACCTGCCTACTGGAAAAATAAACATGTGTGCAAAATTTTAGCCATCTATCTCAATTCATTCGAAAGATAGCGTGATTACAAAAGACAGACAGACGGACATCGCTAATCGACTTAGAATTTTACACTGATCAAGAATATATATACTTTGTTGGGTCTGACATGAGTATTTCGGGGAGTTACAAACGGAATAACACCATAGTATGGCGCAGGGTATAAAAATAAATTATTCGTGATGGAATTTCAGCGTGATAGTGCGATTTCTTTATATTTGGCTGGAAAACAACAAACGGCTATCGTTAGAGCACTCCAGCATTACCACCACTCGTTACCGTGTTACTGAACTCAAGCGCCGGCCATGGTGATGGTGTGGGCCGCCATAACAGCCGATGGTCGCTCTCTGCTACTATTAATCGACCGTGGTATCAGAATAAATGCCGAATATTATCGCGAAAATATTGTAGAGGGTGTATTAAAGCCTTGGGCACGCAAACATTTTGGCCGCAGAGCTTGGACATGCCAACAGGACTTAGCGCCATCGCACTCAGAATGCGCCACCCCAGAATGGTTACAAAATGAGGTTCTTGCTATATTTCCAGCACACAATGGCTACCAAAATCTCCGGATACCAATCCGTTGGACTTTTGTGTCTAGCGTATTTTAGAAAGCAAGGTTGGCACTAAAAGGTAGCAAAGCGTCGATTATCTCAAGCAAGCGCTTCGCCAAAATACCGCATAGCAACATTCGGGCCATAATTCGTGCCAAAGGTGATCAATTCGAACAAATCTAAACATATTCTAATTCGATGCTATTTCCGACATTTTTTGCTTTCATTCAATTTAATTAAAAAAAAAAAATGCAAAAATTATGGCGTTAGACTTTGTTGCAGTGTTTTATCTGACCCTGTATGCATTTAAAAACATTCTTTAAATAATTGAAAAAAAAAAAATACCAAAAATGCGGGGAACTTTTTCCAGTAACATATATGAAAATAAATTCTTTTAATTTGCTGTCTGTTCGGGACTTCCACCCAAATACGAAAAAAATCCATATTTTGTTTCGAAATTTGTACAATTAAATTATTCTTTGCCACTCACAGCGGATTATCTACAGCAGTGACTAATAAAAACATTGAATGTCTTTTTTTTAGAAACCGGTTACATTAGCTGTTTATCTGCTTGAGCGACGCACGTTTCATGGGTGTAGCCATCGAGATGATTTTTTTTTTTTATTTCTAAATAGTTTGTTAAAACTGAAATTATAGTCACATCAATAAATTGAATGGTTGTGATGAAGCGTTTAAGTATGCTCATGATAATATCATTCGTCAAAATGGGATAGGCTGTAGGGGGTTTTTTGATAAATTGGTAAATTGTAAATTACCGAAATTAAGAAACAAAACAAAAGGCAAATTGAATTAAAAAAATATATTGTTTTTAGGTAAGTTGTCTTTTTGTTGTAGCCACAATTGAGAACTAGATGACATTTTTGAAATACGTGAAAATTTAACAATTTTAGTGGTGCTTTGTTAAAAATAATTAAATTTCTCTTAAATCATAAGTTTTTATACCGTCAGCCATATGGGTAGGAGGGAATATATCATTTCATCCGGCCATGAGGTGCCTCATCGAAATAACGGTTTTAGACACTAGGTCTCTTTGGACCAAATCCGTTTGTCTGTGTGGCTGGTGCCATGATTAATATTGAAGGGAGTATCCGATTTGATCCAAACTTGGTACATCATAATATTATTGTCAAACTTATATCGAGTTCGGAGATGGGCAATATCGGTCCACTCCTTTTGATACATCCCCCACAAAAGATTTTCAAAGAAAATAATTTATGTATTGACCGTATGAAATGGTATATATGACTGATGAGACTGTTAAAACACAAATACGCTTTAGCTGCTTTTAAAATATGAAAATTTAACTTAAAAACCTGCAGAACAAGCTCCCTTCTATCACTTAGTAGGTCTGATATAAGAATCGTGGTGGGCTTTCTGACTGGTCACTGTAGTATCAGATATCTGACCCCAAGATGGGACAACAGTGTTCCTGACTATTGTAGACTGTGTGAACATAGAGAAGAGGTAGAGACGATCGAACATCTACTTTGTACATGTCCCAAGTTAACCAACTTGATACATAGGCTATTTAGCAGAGATAGAAACTTTAAAACCCTTTCCAGACATAGACATTCCATCATCGTTTAGAAGTTTTCCAAAGCCATTCAAAGGCTAGGCAGATCACCCACCTAACTACAATCTTTATATATTATTTTCTTCTTCTCGCTTTAACAGTTGCCGAATTCGTGTAGCTACGCATCCGTGAACAAAGCCCAAACCACAAACATCGACATGGATGTGCTCGTACGACTGCAAGACCCAACGTTGTGAGTTCGATTCTCGGCGTTGTCAAACGACGAAAAACATAAGCCTCAATTGATATTAATAGACCTGTATATTTCATCTTTATTCTACATGTAATGTTTGTAGAGGTTATGCAGCTGGATCTTAATCAGGATGAAGCCCTCCGAAATTGTTTTTTTTTTGGAAATTCTTATCCATTTTACACGGAATTTTTAAATAAAAACGTAATATAAATGTTTGAGCAAAATTTCGGAGTTATATAATGCTTCCATGAATTAATCTACGTTTTTGAGGATCTCATCCCACTGTGTATCGGTTTAAAATTTAGAAACCCCATGACGTCCATAAATGGCAAAATAAGTATCCGATTGTGAAACATCTCAATGTTTCACTCAAGCAAAGATCTCATGCATATACGAAATTTTTGACCCACTCCTTCTGATACCTCCCACTAGGGGTAAACATTTTGAATATTTTTAAGTCTTTTTTGGTTGATTGTTTGGCTTATGGTCGTTAAAAGAACTATGTTTTTATGTCGGTCGGTCTGTCTGTTCGTCTGTCTGTTGTAATCAAGCTATCTTTCGAACGAATTGAGATAGAAGACTAAAATTTTGCATACGTGCATAGTTTACCAGTAGGCAGGTTAGATTCGTAAATGGGACATGTCGGTCAACGTTTTCGTATAGCCCCCATATAACGGTACCTCCCAATATTCGGTATTTTCATGATTTTAACGACATTATTTACCGGAATTGTTTCAAATTTGGTATTTGAAGTTCGTAATGAGTACCTAAGTTCGTAATAAGCCTAAGACAGAAAATTATCTGTGCAGGTCCACGTCTTCGTGTAGCCCCCATATAACGGTACCCCCCGATATTCGGTATTTTGATGATTTTAGCGACATTGTTTACCGGAATCGTTTCAAATTTGGTATTTGATATTCGGTATTTTGATGATTTTAGCGACATTATTTAACGGAATCGTTCCAAATTTGGTATTTGAAGTTCGTAATAGATACTGCAGCATAAAACGGAAAATGGGCCATGTATGTCCACGTCTTCGTATAGCCCCCATATACCGGAATTCGGTATTTGATGATTTGAGCGACATTATTTACCGGGATTGTTTCAAATTTCGCATGTGAAGTTCGTAATGGATACCTCAGCCCAGGCAGAAAATTGTCTGTGCAGGTCCAAGTCTTCGTTTAGCCTCCATACAACGGTACCTCCTTATATTCGGTATTTTGGTGATTTTACCTCATTATTCACCATTTTTTTTTTATTTTGAAGTTCCGAATTTGAATATTGTAATGGTTTATGACAAATGTTTCCTATGCAGATCACCGTCGTCCTAGAGACCCTAAAACAACTGCTACGTTCGGTATTTTTGAGAATTTTAACATAATTTTTAACGGATTTTATTTTTTTAAAATTGCCAAATTCGTTCCAAATCGTGGAGGGTATTCAAAGTTCGGCATGGCCGAACTCACAGCTTTTTCACTTGCTATTTTTATCAAGTCTCATAAAGTGGAAAATAATTATTCGATATTTCATACTTTTAATTTTTTTCTAGTTTAGATCGGTCCATTCCTTCTGGTATCGTTTTAAGCTTTCTTACGATTTTGGTACATTTTCTAGCTACTTTCAATGTAATTTCATATCTGAAACACTTACTTGGGGTCACTTTTCAAATCTTGAATACGACTTTAGGACCTAGGAGTATTTTTTAGGACCTTGTTATAATTTTGAAATTTTTAGAATCTTTGAAACTGACATTTACCGTATCAATGCCTTCCCTTTGGCTTAAATGCACCACCAGATCCATATTGCTGGCAGTCAATGGGATTGTCAGCAAACCAATATATTCTCCTTCGTATAAAACATATTGGAAATAGCGAGGACATCCTGTGGGCGGTAATGGTGGCGGTTGGGCTGGTTGGAATCCAAATCTAAATTGTTGTTCTGTGTAATTTATTAAATTTAAAGCAACTACTAAAATTACAACAAATCTAAACATATTTTCTTAGTTTTTTTCGTTTTCAATTTCAGATTTACTGCACTTATGGGTAGCGAGAGGTAGGTATGTTTAATTTTCTAATTAATCTGTTGCAAGGGTTTTTTTCTCTATCTAAAGTAGTTAATTAACACATTATTGCGAAGAAAAAACGTCACAAAAATCGTCACTACAGCGACAGCGGGTTGGGGATATCACAGCGACAATAAATAAAATCGGAAAGCAACGAAGGCTTAACACTTTCAATATTTCCGCGATTACCGTTCTTGACGACTTTTGATCACAAACTGGCTGGCTGTTACTTGTGAAATTTTTAAAATGCCCCCAACCTCCCGCAAAAATATTAAAAAAAATCACTTTGCGATGGAATGTTCTGAAAAGGCATATCGGTTTGTTTTCATTACGAGTATTCCCAAACGTGAACAATATAAAAAACATTGCCCGTTTTTAAAGTTTCAAGTTTATGGTTGCTGTTGTTATTCTTTCAATTCAGTTTACTAAAATTGAATCAGAAACTTGTTATATTTTATGCGTCGATTGTGAACCACCGAAACGCTTTATTCGAAATTCATATCGATTTTGGTCATTGACGTTTTGTTGCGTTTTAATGGGATCGTCTTATTCAAATTAGGATTGGCTTCTTGAGATTTGATTTACATCCGCTGACAAGGAAATGCTTAAGGTATACGCTTGCGTATTTTTCATTGAATGTTGGAATACTTTGATCTGAAATGTTTACGTCTGTCACAGGTGCTATGAATAGTTACCGATTTGTTAATTTGTTGAATATTTTATCGATTTATTTTGGGTAAACCTAAACAAACAACTAATTTTTGGCGAAACACCCATATGGTGAAAAATATAGGGATTCATAACACTGTGCGACAAAAAAATTCTGGGTAATATAAAATTCATGAACACAATTAAAATAAAGGGGTTTTCAATAAAATACTTTAAATTGGAAATTACAGCAAAGTATATATTTTGATAAATTATCAAATGTTTATTTTATAATTAAGCGGACAGATGTATACCCCCAGCCTTGACTTTTGATTATTCAAACTGCTGACTCTTTCCGAAGCAGTTGGACAATATTGACCAATTTGTATCTGATCGAAGACTGAAATAAACATAACAATGTGCTAAATTTGGACTACATCGAGTATATGAGATATGTGTAAATTTTTGGAAAATGTGAAAATATGCGTGAGGTAACATATATTGCGGACCGAAGTATTTCATTTTCAAACTTGATAGAAATATTAGTGTGTGCAAAATTTGAAGGAAATCGAACATTTATATCTAATTTTATGCGAAATCGATAAACTCATATCAGTTTTCTGGGTAAGTTAGATAGAACAAGTTGTAAACAATCGCCGACATGTTTTGCAAGTTATGGCAAATATAATTATTAGAAATGGTGACCCTTTGTGGGTGAGGTACCAGAAGGGGTTGGCAGATGTATATCATCTTCCAACAGATCTTGTGTTAGCGAAAATGTTTGTATGTATGAAATTTGAAGGGAGTTGGAGGCTTATTTCGCTTTCTTTGAGCATTGTGTTTTTCAAAATCTTGAACTCTATGTGTGGGAGATATTAGAAGAAATGGTGGGATTCCTACCTTCTTTATAACAGATCTTATGTTGATGGAAATATTGAGATGTGCCAAGTCTGAATGGGATGGGATGTTAATTTCGTGTTTTATGAGCCTCATGAATGTTAAAAATGTTGACCCTTTGTGGGGAAGGTACCAGAAGTAGTGGACCGATATATCCCATCTTCACCCCAGATCTTGGGTTAATAAAAATATTGTGATGTGTGTAATTTGAAGAGAACGGGATGGTTATTTCAGATTTTATGATCGTTTGGTTATTCAAAAATGTAACCCTTTGTGGGGGAGGTACCAGGGAAGTAGACCGATATATTCCATATTCACCCCAGGCCTTGGGTTAATAAAATTATTGCGATGTGTGATGGTTATTTCGGATTTTATGATCGTTTGGTTATTCAAAAATGTAACTCTTTGTGGTGGAGGTATCAGAAGGAATGTTCCGTTCTTTAACATCTATATGACAAATCTTGTATTGATAGAAATATTGAGATGTGCTAAGTATGAATGGAATTGGATGGTAATTTCGTGTTTTATAGCCTTCATGAATATTCAAAATTTCGACCCGTTTTGGGGGAGGTACCAGAAGGAGTGGACTGATATATTCCATCTTAACACCAGGGTTTATAAAAATATTGTGATGTTCGAAATGTGAAGACAATAGGATTCTTACTTCATTTTTTATAAGAGTTGTATTTTTTTTAAAATTTTTGACCTTTTGTGGGGGAGATACTTGATGGAGTGAACCGATAATGTTCATTTTCGCACCGGACCTAGCACTGACGCAAATATTATGATTTGCAAAGTTGGAGCAAGCTCGGTTTATCGTTTTATATATATTTTTGAAAATTTCGACCTTTTGTGGTGGGGGGGGGGGGGGGGGGGGCGTACTAGAAGTAGTTGACTGATATTGTCCATCTTCGAACTCGATCCAAGTTGGACCAAATCGGATACTTTTCGAGAATTATCGTGCGCGCCAGCCAGCCAGACAGCCGTACGAACATAGCTAGATCGACTCCAACTGTCGTGAAACGGATTTGGTCCAAAGAAACCTAGGGTCTAAAACCGTTATTTCGACTAGGCACGATTTGACCGTATCAAATGATATGTACCCTCTCAAGCCATATGGCTGGGGTATATATTTTGGTTTAACCCGATTTATAGTATATTTTACTTTTTAACCATACTTTCCAAGTAATTTCGTAACTGAAGTATATACCCTCCATGAAAGAATATTGTTTTCGGTATCGCCCTCATATCAAAGTACCCCTGATTTCCGCATATTCCAATTGATTTACTCTAGTTATACCCTCAGCCATATGGCTACAGAGGGTATATATCATTTGATACGGTCAAAACGTGCCTAGTCGAAATAATGGTTTTAGACCCTAGGTCTCTTTGGACCAAATCCGTTTCAGAACATTTGGAGTCGATCTACCGATGTCCGTCCGTCCGTCCGTCCGTTTGTCTGTCTGTCTGGCTGGTGCGCACGATAACTCTCGAAGGGAGTATCCGAATCGATTCAAACTTGGTATATCGTAATATTCAATGTCAAACTTAGATCGAGTTCGGAGATGAGCAATATCGGCCCCAGAAGGAGTGGGCCGATATACCAAGTTCCCACACAAAATTTCAAAATTTTCAAAGAAAATAATTTGTTGCACAAAAAGAGAAATGATAATCCGATTTTGCTCGAACTTTGCAAATCCTCATATTTTCATCAATGCTAGGTCATGTGCGAAAATGGACAGTATCGGTCTACTCCATCAAGTACCTCCCCCACAAAGGGTCAACATTTTGAATAATTATACACAAAGTGTCAAAATTTTGAATACCTATGAAGTTCATAAAACGCCAAATTGACATCCGATTCCATTTAGACTTGGCACATCTCAATATTTCTATCAACACAAGATCTGTTATAAAGGTGGTATAGATTGAACCATTTCTTCTCCCCCATACATAGGGTTCAAGATTTTGAAAAAGAAAACACTCTAATAAAGCGAAATAAATATCCAACTCTCTTCGAATTTTACACACACAAATATTTTTGCTAACACAAGATCTGTTGTGCAGTTAATATATATCTGCCAACCCCTTCCGGGGTCACAATTTTCAATAATTATATCTGTTATAACTTTCGAAAAAACTTAGCAATACTTTACTACTTGCTATTCTCAAATATTTCTCTCAATAATAAGCCTGATATGAATATGAAATTTATCGGTATTTATGATTTCGCATAAAATTGGAAATAAATATTCTTTCTTGTAATATTGCCCAATATTACGCTCAACATTTTTTATTTGTATCAGATGAAGTATAAAAGGGGAATATTTCGGTAGACTCTATCTTGTAAATCACGCACATTTTAACACTTTCTAAAAATTATTACATATCTCATATAAAATGAAGGAGTGAATCGATATAATCCATACCAGGAACGTCGGAATATTTATATCATATTTTTGGGTCCGATACAAAATGGAGAATATTGTCCCATTCCTTCGGAACCTGCTCCATAGAGGGTCAAACGTTTGAATAATTGTAACACTAGTCAAATTATATTTAAATAATCGAACACAGGCTGAGGGTATATATCTGTCGGCATTACCGACTGATACTTTTTAATTTTATCTTCTCAGCAAACCAAAATACAAATTATCAGTCAAAGGGATTGGAAAATTTGACCAAGATCTTCGCAATTTCGATTGAGCACATTTTAGCGTAGTGTAGCAACCAAATATCGATAACATTCTTCGTCTGCAAAAAATAAATCTTTAATTATTTGTTTCTTTCGCCTAAAAGTCGGCTTTTGATTAAATGTAAATACGGCTAACACAATTAATTTATTCATACAACAAAATATTTTTTCACCTGCTTTGTTTTACTAGCAAAGTTCATGAAGGTCATTATCTGCCAAAATCAATTATGATCCCTCATATGAACATTAGACTTAGAAAATTTCTCAGTAAAACATTGCAAATGTGCTCATTATACATGACTCAAAACATTTGTGAACAAAAAATTTCATACATGACCTTTGACCTTTCCTCAATCATACATCAACACCAAAGTTCTCATGCATCATTTAATTTCTAATCAATTCTTTTATTGTCTCGCACAAAGCCTCCACCACCAACCTGTTGGCAATTTAACAGAGATATTTATCGCTTGTTATAGCGGCATTACGCTGCTGATTGAAATAGCTTATCACCCGACCATTAATAAATCTGGACTTGACAAATTCATTGAGTGAGCGATGGCGAACAAAGAAAGTCCTAATCAAATAATAAAACTAATGTCTGAACACGCCACACTTTTGCCGACAAATTGTTGTTGCTGGTGTTGTTTTCGTTGATGTTGGTGTTTTTGCTGTCATTACTGTTGCTTGGCTGTCCGCCTGTCTCACTGTCATTACAAAAATAAATAGTGTGTAATAACAATAAAAAAG